TGGGGGCTGGGGAAGGGAGGGGGGCCCTTCTGAAACCTGGGGGAGGTGCCTCTCCTCCATCTTGCTGATGGGCCCAGGGGGACTGCCTAGCCCAGGTCAGGGTCTGGTCTCCTGAGCACAGTTTTGTTCCCATTGCAGAGAGTGAGCCTGCAAAGGGCTGTGCCAGGTGGAATTGTGTGCCTGTCCCTGTGGAGCTGCCACCACTACCTCAGACAAGTGGTGGGCAGAGGTGCCCGAGCTCAAAGCAGAGCGGCCAAGTGGCCAGAAGAGGCTCTGAGCCGCGGGCTCGTGGGTGTGGGGCTTGGGGTAGAGTTTGAAATGCTTGCTCAGATCCAAACTGTGAATAGCAGGTGTAAGGAAGGCCTATTGTTCATGTTCTCACTCTTTTAAAAAGGGTTATGCCACGTACTCAGGTCCACACCTTTCCACAGGGGTCCTAGGAGGGGAGAGGGAGCTTGCATCTCATACCCAGCACACCGCCCTCAGGCACTCACACTCACCACCCTCACCCACTCACACTCAACACCCTCACCCACTTACACTCAACACCCTCACCCACTCACACTCACACTCACCACCCTCACCCACTCACACTCACCACCCTCACCCACTCACACTCAACACCCTCACCCATCACACTCACCCATTCACACTCACACTCACCACCCTCACCCACTCACACTCACCACCCTCACCCACTCACACTCAACACCCTCACCCATCACACTCACCCATTCACACTCACACTCACCACCCTCACCCACTCACACTCACCACCCTCACCCACTCACACTCAACACCCTCACCCATCACACTCACCCATTCACACTCACACTCACCACCCTCACCCACTCACACTCACCACCCTCACCCACTCACACTCAACACCCTCACCCATCACACTCACCCATTCACACTCACACTCACCACCCTCACCCACTCACACTCACCACCCTCACCCACTCACACTCAACACCCTCACCCATCACACTCACCCATTCACACTCACACTCACCACCCTCACCCACTCACACTCACCACCCTCACCCACTCACACTCAACACCCTCACCCATCACACTCACCCATTCACACTCACACTCACCACCCTCACCCACTCACACTCACCACCCTCACCCACTCACACTCAACACCCTCACCCATTCACACTCACACTCACCACCCTCACCCACTCACGCTCACCACCCTCAACCACTCACACTCACACTTACCACCCTCACCCACTCACACTCACCACCCTCATGCACCACACTCACCATCTTCACGCACTCACACCACAGGGATCTATGCGGTCAAACAAGCCGTGATCTCACGCTTGCAGTGCACACCCCATATGCATTTATATGGGAGGAGTGATATGGATGACCAAAGGCCTAATGTTGCCCAGGAATTTATGAGCACAACATTCATTCACCCAGTCCCATGTTTCTGACCATCGAGGGGTCCTGTGTTAACTCCCCAGCAGCAGGGAGCTTGGGGCTGAGGTTCTTGGCCTCATTAACAGGCAAGGACAGTGTAGTCCAGAGCTGTGGCAGAGTCTGCACCCAGCCTCTCTCTCCTGGATGACATCTCTGCCTGTTGCCTCTCTTTCCAATGTATGGGTGGCTGTCCTGCCTCACTAGCCTGTAAGCTCTTCCAGGGGCAGGGACCATGTGCTTCTCATCTCTGCACAAGGACATGGACCACAAAGTCACCAGATTGCACTGCCAAGAGCTGGACCTAGGTTCAAATGTAGGCTCCACTGAGTATTACCTGTGTGACCTTAGCCAAATGACTTAACTTCTCTGAGCTCCAGGTTTTGCATCTCCAAAGGAGGACAATTACATCTGCTTAATGATATTGCTCTCAGAATTTCAGGAAGCACCTAATAAATGGCTATTGGATAGACTGAGGAAGGTCTTAGGTCTATAGGTGCAGCATTTGGCCCAAGGCTTGGCAGTGCTCCCCAAATGCAGCCCCTTTCTCTTAGCACCTGGTGGGTACTGAATACTTGTGGAAGGAAGGAAGAACCAGGAGAGGGAAAACAAGTTCCCTCCGCGGGGCCGCTTTCTCACGCATTCCGTTCCCAATGCACTTGGCCCAGGCTCTGCACTTGCTCCCTGCCTCGCTCTTTGCTCTTTCCCTCCTGCAGCTACAGAGCCTTCGGATAACGTTTTACCGCCCGATGGGGTGAGTCCTCTCGCAGCCCCACTTCCTCAAAGCTTTCCTGGCAGCTCGCATAGGCTCTTTCTTCCACATGAACATCTATAATCATTTTTTCCATTAGAATCCCACCGGGACCCCGAGTGGACTCGCATCTCGCATTCCGTTTGTGTGCTGGAGTCTGGGGTGGGCTGTAGAGTGCAGCGCCGGGTGCCTTTTGTCCCGCAGCCCTGGGGGG